ACTCACTCACACACACTCACTCACTCATACACACACACTCACACAGACACACTCACACAGACACACTCACTCATACACACACACTCACTCACACACACACTCACTCACACACACACACACACGCACTCACTCACACACACTCACTCACTCATACACACACACTCACTCATACACACACACTCACTCATACACACACACTCACTCATACACACACACTCACTCATACACACACACTCACTCATACACACACACTCACTCATACACACACACTCACTCATACACACACACACACACACTCTCTCTCTCTCTCTCACACACACTCACACACACACACACACACACCCCTGTACTAAACCAGCACACGTCCAGCTTCTGCTGCATTTACTCTTACTGTAAAATATGATATTATTGCCTGTAAAATTCACACTGCAGTTCATTTTTTAATCTTTTACATCCACACGAAATGATATAGGGACTGTTTTGTCTTCCCTTTTAGAAGCAGGTATGTCTGCTTGTTTTGTTATAAAAAAGTACAGTTTAACATACTTTAAAAGTATTACTCATTTTGGAAATAATATATTTTAAAAGAATATTCTTAAAGGGATAGTTCACCCAAAAATGAAAATTCTCTCATCATTTGCTGTTGTTTCCAAACCTTTATGAGTTTCTTTCTTCTGTTGAAAACAAATGAAGATATAATGAAGAATGTTGGTAACCAAACATTTGGTTTCTGGTCACCATTTACTTCCATAGTATTTTTTTATTTTATTTTTTCCACACAATAGAAGTTAATGGGAATCATAAACTTTTTGGTTACCTGCATTCTTCAAAATATCTTCTTATTTCCCTTTAATTGCAAACTGAATGCAATATATATAAATATACATTTTATAAAAAATACTTAGATTTATATTAAATCCAATTAGTGGAACTTTAGAGTGTTTTTGACCCACTTAAGTAGCACTTCAGTACATTTTTATATGTAATTATATAATTATTTCTGTCTTTTTAAAAATATTGTTAAAGTGAACTGCTAAATGTACTGACAAAAGTTTGTGATAAACAAAAAAAATACTAACGTAATTTCTATTGAAACTTGTATGTCATTTATTTCAGTATTTGTAATTACACATTTGTTGAAGTTGCAATTAAGAACATTTAAAATGTCAAAGTCAAAGTCTGCTTTATTGTCTAATTCTATATTAACGTAAATTGTAATTTAACACAGCAGTTAAAATTGTATTAAGTACTTTACATGTGCTTTAGTATGTTGTGAGCATATTATTAAAACATGATTTAAAATGTACTTTAGTGTAAAAGCGTTCAATTTAACACAATGTGCACTTTTTTAAAAAGTGTACTTAAAGGGTTAGTTCACTCAAAAATGAAAATTAGCTTGTGTTTTACTCACTCTCGAAGCATCCTAGGTGTATATGACTTTCTTCTTTCCGACGAATCCAGTCTTACACCAAATACACAAAATAATGATCTTTTTAGCAACATCATATGACCCCTTTAATATTGAGAAGAACGATTTTTAGAACTATATCTTTATCGTCTACTCATGTCACAAGCATGTGGCCTTTTGAAATGAAGACCCTTCTCTGAGTTTGAATTATTTCATAAATTCATGTTCAGTTTCCAGATGACATGCACGTGGAACAGCATTTACTGTGTACCACCACAACTAAGAAAGCAGTAGTGCTGTTTCATATGACCTGGACCACAAAACCAGTCATAAGGGTCAATTTTTTTTAATTGAGATTTATACATCATCAAGATGAATTAATAAGCTTTCCATTGATGCATGGTTTGTTAGGATAGGACAATATTTGGCCGAGATACAACTATTTGAAAATCTAAATATTGAGAAAATCATCTTTAAAGTTATCCAAATGAAGTTCTTAGCAATGCATATTACTAATCAAAAATTAAGTTTTGATATATTTATGGTAGTAAATTTACAAAATATCTTCATGGAACATCATCTTTACTTAATATCCTAATGATTTTTGGCATAAAAGAAAAATCGATCATTTTGACCTATACAATGTTTTTTTGGTTATTGCTACAAATATCCCCCAGCGACTTAACAGTGCATTTGTGCTCCAGGGTCACATATCACTATTGTTCAGGTATGGCTAATAATGGATACATATCCTGAGGAAACACCACAGACTTAATTTAAGCATAATGCTCATTCAAAAGCAGCTCAGTCACAGGTCATTTCCATTGATTTTGTTTTATTTTTGTACTGTCGATTGTTTTCTCATCCATTTTTTGCCTCCTATACCTGAACAACACTGATCTGTAAAGTAACTACCAGAAAGTGTCTAGTCGGCAGATTTCATTTCCTCTGAAAATGGCAAAACCCTCAAGCATGAAACATGGAACACGACTGGATTCAATCAGTTAGACCTGCAGATATTTACTTTTTCATCTCTGGTGTTGTCACATACAGCGGCGTAACGGAGAGGACATTCCAGTGGCGGAGAAGAAAAACATCAACCACAGGAAGTTTGCGGCCTCTTTCCGACTGAGAGAAGTGACCAGTCAGGACCAAGATCTGTACCGCTGCGTCACCCAATCAGAGAGAGGATCCGGAGTCTCCAACTTTGCTGGACTCATCGTCAGAGGTAAGGACTTGTTTTGTTGTTTATGCTGTTATTGTACTTTTATGTACATTGAAATGCATAGCTCAGACTCTAAGTTCTGAATGGTTGAGCCATTATATGCCAAACATCTTTCCCAGTTTATAAATCTGGTGTCTACAAAAGAGAAGCATTTGAAAAGAAAAGTGTCCCAGCGGTTTTCTGAGAAAATAAATAAATAAATAGTACTGTTGTTATTTAAAATAATAATAATAGTTTAGAGTTATAATACTTTAGATTTCAGTAGTATTATAGTGATATTTCTTTAATTTTTTAAAATTTGATTAATAATCATAAATTTTGTTTAAAAAATGTTTTCCCAATATGTTCTGCCTTTTTTTTTATTTTTATAACGCACATACAATTTCATGGCCAGTTAAAAAATATTTATGGCCAGTAGGTCAGTAAATCACCGTCCATTAACAGGTTTGGCAAGCTGTTAGTTTTCACACCTCTTGTTATATTGTTATCAGATTATTTGTGCCAGGTAATTAAGCAGTTTCTTAATGTGTTATCAAAGGCTACAGAAGGCATCGATCATTTTGACCTATACAATGTTTTTTTGGTTATTGCTACAAATATCCCCCAGCGACTTAACAGTGCATTTGTGCTCCAGGGTCACATATCACTATTGTTCAGGTATGGCTAATAATGGATACATATCCTGAGGAAACACCACAGACTTAATTTAAGCATAATGCTCATTCAAAAGCAGCTCAGTCACAGGTCATTTCCACTGATTTTGTTTTATTTTTGTACTGTCGATTGTTTTCTCATCCATTTTTTGCCTCCTATACCTGAACAACACTGATCTGTAAAGTAACTACCAGAAAGTGTCTAGTCGGCAGATTTCATTTCCTCTGAAAATGGCAAAACCCTCAAGCATGAAACATGGAACACGACTGGATTCAATCAGTTAGACCTGCAGATATTTACTTTTTCATCTCTGGTGTTGTCACATACAGCGGCGTAACGGAGAGGACATTCCAGTGGCGGAGAAGAAAAACATCAACCACAGGAAGTTTGCGGCCTCTTTCCGACTGAGAGAAGTGACCAGTCAGGACCAAGATCTGTACCGCTGCGTCACCCAATCAGAGAGAGGATCCGGAGTCTCCAACTTTGCTGGACTCATCGTCAGAGGTAAGGACTTGTTTTGTTGTTTATGCTGTTATTGTACTTTTATGTACATTGAAATGCATAGCTCAGACTCTAAGTTCTGAATGGTTGAGCCATTATATGCCAAACATCTTTCCCAGTTTATAAATCTGGTGTCTACAAAAGAGAAGCATTTGAAAAGAAAAGTGTCCCAGCGGTTTTCTGAGAAAATAAATAAATAAATAGTACTGTTGTTATTTAAAATAATAATAATAGTTTAGAGTTATAATACTTTAGATTTCAGTAGTATTATAGTGATATTTCTTTAATTTTTTAAAATTTGATTAATAATCATAAATTTTGTTTAAAAAATGTTTTCCCAATATGTTCTGCCTTTTTTTTTATTTTTATAACGCACATACAATTTCATGGCCAGTTAAAAAATATTTATGGCCAGTAGGTCAGTAAATCACCGTCCATTAACAGGTTTGGCAAGCTGTTAGTTTTCACACCTCTTGTTATATTGTTATCAGATTATTTGTGCCAGGTAATTAAGCAGTTTCTTAATGTGTTATCAAAGGCTACAGAAGGCGTGTTTATATATATATATATATATAATGTATGAAGGCTGTGTTTGTATAGACCTGTTTAAGGACTCATCACCCAAACTCTGTGATCTTCTCAAGTCAACGAGACGCAGCCACGGCTACAGCGACTATCTATTTAGCCTAAACGCCTCTAAATATTACAAACACATTCATATTGGAATTAGCACTGGGTGTGTGGTGCCGTATTAATATGCACAACCCGTTTATACAAACAAATCTCGTTGGGTGTTTTTGGGTGACTTCGGTGCCGTTTCGGGCCCGGAGAGTGAAGCGTGAAGTTTGCTGTGCGCAGATGCGACTCTGAGAGGAGTGCAATAGTTAGCGGCGGCTGCAGGGCAGAAGGGCCAGCTGAGTATCAGCCACACTGACAGCTCAGATATCTCCACCACACTTCCCCAGCTGACAGCCTGCTACAGGGATACCAAAGATGGTAATTTCAGCGGAAATTTTTGGGCCATGGATTTGTGCGTGCGCTAATGGGAGCTGGCACGGAGTTGCCTATTGTCGCGTGTGACCCCGGGCGAGTGCTTTATTAGCTCCCGCTCTCCCTAATGCGGGGCGACAGCGGGCCCTCCCGGCTGTTTGGGGTCGCTTTGTAACAAATGAAAATTTCAGTGGCGGATCCTTACACTGGAGAAGTATCGATCTGCGTGTCCCCCAGCTGCAGGAAGAAAGATGGAAGAGGAAAAAAACACAACAGAACAGTTGTGGCCTCAGCATGCGGGCAGCTCGCCGCGTTTAGCCCAGAGTTTCCAGTAATGACATTAGCCCTCTCTCGCCTGTAGAGAATAAACCGAATTGACGAGACGTGTGCTGTGAAACCAATTCGAACACAAACATTCAATAAACACCGCTCTGTTTTTATCGGACATCTAAAGCGACGTCTCCTCACGCAGCTGCAGACAGACCACCGCAAACTCGCTCTTCAAATAAAGCCTCCGCTTGGAACTGAAATGTTGTGATTTTGCAGCCTGAGAACAGGTCCACTAAGGACTGTGATATTACAGTTTAAAACAGATGTTTTCTCTATGAATATCTGTCAAATTGTAATTGATTTCTGTGATGAAGCGCTGAATTTTCAGCATCATTACGCCAGTCTTTAGTGTCACATGATCTTCAGAAATCATTCTAATATGCTGATTTGCTGCTCAAGAAACATTTCTGATTATTATCAATGTTGAAAACAGTTGTGCTGCTTCATATTTATGCAGAAGCCATGATATGCTACCATTCAAATGGTTATGTGTTTATTAGAAATTAATACTTTTTTATTCAGCATACAGTATATGCATTAAATTGATCAAAAGAGACAGTCAAATCATTTATAATGTTACAATGTTTCCATTCATCAAATAATCCTGACAATGTTTCCTCAAAATATTAAGCAGCAAAATAGTTACTTGTACTACTTTTACTATTTTGCTAAATAAATTAATGCAGCCTTGGTGAGCAGATGAAACGTCTAAAACATAACGGGGTAGATTTACCAACAGCCTGTGCCAGCGCAAACCATCTTTTGCCGTTAAAATAGTACTGTCAGGATTAACTAAAGACGCACAGTGAAGAATTAGCGCTGAAAAGGTGTGGACACAGTTATTTGTGCACCTGACCTTATTGAATATGCATTTGTAGGAATTTCTCTTTGAGCATGTAACTTCTCTTTACAAGAACCAACACTCACAAGTTACAAAACTTTACAATTATTTCCATTAGCAAAATGAGACATTTTTATGTCAAATTAAATGTCATATCGCAGTTCAAAACACAACTGCAATACATGACAAAGCAATCACTAGAGCCTGACCGATATATCGTTTTGCCGATATTATCGGCCGATATGAGCCTGTCGCAGATATATCAGTATCGGCGAATATGCCACGGATATGAATTTTTTTTAACAGAACATATAACACAGATGAAATGCTTCTAAATGGTGCAATTACTTAGTTTGTCCAGCAGAGTGTGCGCCATTGTTTGCTACTGGCGACCCAGGTCAGTATAGTGTAGAGATGATCGGATGAGCTGAAACTTCATAGTTTTGCATGATAATATGATGAATGGATGGTTCATTTTTAACAGCATATTCAGTGACGTTAGAGCTGATCTGTGCATCACTGCACGCATCTGCGGCGCATTACGGCTCCACGGCCACCGGAGCTGATCGCGGCCACTCAGTCAATGCTGGTGTTTATACCGGCTGCGCTGCGGCCCAAAACTAATGCTTGTCACATCACATTTCCTAACTGGGTGTCTACACTGGACGCGTGTGGCTCGACAAAATACAATAGAACTACTGATCTATATATAATGAGTGAATAGAACCCATTATAATCAGTGATGTTGTCAACACTGGATGCGGCGCAACACGACAAATCCCAACAGTAAACTGATGCCTCGTTCTATTTATGACGTACTGACACAAAGTTCAAATGATTTTCACAGATCGCTTTGTTGCATCCTGTTGCAGCCCAGACACGGTGTGTCAGCATAGTTTGTCAGGACAGTCAGTAAAGTAGCAGATTGAAAAGTTATTATCTTTCTGCAGTCCAATAATAGGACGGCAGTGCTGTGGTGGCTTGAGTCTGTTGAATGGTGATTTAACGCTATGTTGTCAACTAGTTGGAGAGACTCCATGCTAAAGTAAATAAAAAACAATGTCCCAGTCTTTCTCTCACAATGATCAAATTCGTTTGCTACATTAGTAGGGCCCTGTGATTTCCGCGATGCAGAAAACATGGACGGAAGCACGGAATCCAGTCACAAAAACAGAATTGACTGTATAATGTGGAATTTCATTGAATTTGTCTTATTTTTTATGAATAAATTAAAAACAGGTCAGTACACTTACATCAAATCGCGATATAGACTAGTGTCTGTGAATATTAAATTGCACAAGACTATTTCAATAAGAATCCTCATGTTTATTTGATTGCCAGAAAATACACAACACAGAATTTGTGAAAACAATATTATTCATAATTATTATTTATTCATTTTAGATGTTTACATTTAGCAAAGCTGTGCTTCCTGCATAAACCTGCCCCTGTTGGTTTTGGCAGTATAGCTTGCTTGCCCTCCGCAGTTACCTTGTTTATTTTCTTAATTCAAGTTATATATATTTTGTTCTATTTGTGTTTTTTGTGAAGTGAAGTGAAGTTTACTGTTAAGTGCACTGATGTCAGACTCATTTTGAATAAATTGTTGTTAAATTGTTAAATGCCCTGCCTCCATTACATAGTTGTCACATCATTGTAAGTGCTTGATCACCACATTTGAGTTATC